TTAAAGGTTTATTTTATTTATTTGAAAGACAGAGTTACAGAGAGAGGCAGAGACAGAGAGAGAGGTCTTCTATCCGCTGGTTCACTCCCCAAATGGCTGCAACAGCTGGAGCTACACCCATCCGAAGCCAGGAGTCAGGAGCCTCCTCCAGGTTTCCCACGCAGGTACAGAGGCCCAAGTACTTGGGCCATTCTCCACCATTCTCCCAGGTCACAGCAGAGAGCTGCATCGGAAGTAGAGCAGACAGGACCAAAACCAGCGCCCATATGGGATGCCGGCACTTCAGGCCAGGGCTTTAACCGGCTGTGCCACAGTGCTGGCCCCATATTAGTTTATTTTTTAAAAAAGATTTATTTATTTACTTGAAAGTCACAGTTACGGAGAGAGGAGAGGCAGAGAGAGAGAGGTCTTCCATCTGCTGGTTCACTCCCTAGATGGCTGCAACCGCTGAAGCTGCGCTGATCCGAGCCAGGAGCCAGGAGCTTCTTCTGGGTCTCCCACACAGGTGTAGGGACCCAAGGACTTGGGCCATCTTCCACTGCTTTCCCAGGCCATAGCAGAGAGCTGGCTGGGAAGTGGAGTAGCCGGGACTCAAACCAGTGCCCATATGGGATGCTGGCACTGCAGGCGGCGGCTTTACTCACTATGCCACAGCTCTGGCCCCTATATATTAGTTTAAAAAGAAAACCCTTTTGAAGGACAATTTGGCTATAATTATCCAGTTTTTTCCTTTCGCTGGGCTTCTAGAATGTCATTGTTTCTCCTGCCTGGAAGTGGTCTGTGACTTGGGTTTTTGCTGCCCTCTAGTGGTACTGAGAATAAAGCACTGGTTCTGAGAATAAAACCAAGAATCTTTTCCACTTTCACCTGGGCTTCGGGCACACATGGGGATTTCTATACCCAAGGAAAGGGGTGAAGAAAGGAGGAGCTGCAAGACCCACTGATGCTGGTCAAGGGAAGGTCTGTCAGTCCACGCTTGAGGGTCAGCAAGTGTCAGCCCCAGAAATCCCTGCCCTTTGTGTGAAAGCTGAGGATCAGAGACAGGGACGAGGGCACCCTTCCAACCTGGTCAGAGGCTGATTTTAGGCTAGGAGGCTGGGCAGTAGGATCAGGACCAGCAGTGAGGCTGGAATGCACTTAAGCCCAGAGGAAAGAGAGGTATAAGGAAAGCTGCCCAGGAAAGCCTAGAGGAAGGGGAGAACCAGAATTTGGCCCCATCTCAGCCCTTGACCTCCAGTTCCAACACAACCCCAAGTTCAAAGTCAGCCTTTCAGTGCTCGCTCCCTTTCTCTCTCCCTCTCTCCTTTTCTTCTCTCTCTCTCCTCTTCCTCCTCCTTGTCTTCCCCTCCACCTCCCTCTCTTCTCTTTCTCCCTCCTCTCCCTCTTCCCTCTTCTCTCCTCTTCTCCTCCTCTCCCCTCTCTCCTGTCTCTCAACACTGCCACCTGTAGGTAAGGCAGCAAGCTTCCACCTAAGGGTAGGCTGCCCCAGACTGAAAGAGCCAACCTGGAAGGGACGGCTCTCCTATTGCTCAGCCTGAGCTGCAACTGGAACTCACCCTCCCTCTCCAGTCACAGAAAATCATCCTGCAGTATTTGAAGATTCCCAAACTGCTAGTTTTCATTGAAAGGTCTCCCATACTGCCTTTATAAAACTATGTACATGTATTTTTGTGATTTTTTTTTTTTTTTTTTTTTTGGTAAGCAGTAAAATTATAAGCAAGGGATGGGTGTTTGGTGCAGCAGTCAAGTTGCCACTTGATATGCCTGCACTCTGTACCAGAGTGCCTGGTTCAAGTTCCAGCTTCCTACTAATGTACACCCTGAAGGAGACAGACGACAACTCAAGTATGGAAACCTCAATTGAGCTCAGGGTGTCTAGCTTCAATCAGATCCGGCCCTGACTGTTGAGGACAGCCGAGTAGTGAACCAATGGATGGAAGATTTCTCTGTCTCTCTCTTTTTCTGTCTTTCAGAGAAAAAAAATGAAAATAAAGGTTTTAAAATGATAAGCAAAGCAGTGGGACCTGACAAGCCAGCCCACCACCCTGATACTAGCCCTTCCAGATTCCCTTGCAACATGAGCCTGGAGCTATAATTGTCCCTGGGATGGCCAGGGTGAGGCTCCTGTCTGCCACTCTTTGGAATCAGGCAACACTGACATATGTCTACTCCAAAAGATGAGTGTTCTGAGCCCAGCAGGAACCAGAATCTCATGTCAATGTGAAAACATAGCCAGAAATAGGGTTGGTTTGTTTGTTTCATTTCAAAGGTATACCTCACCTTTTTCCATTAAAGTTGGTTATTATCAAAGCATTTTTGTGATAGTTAAGGTTGAGTACTGGTATCTACATTTTTCTTGCTTTAAAAGCTCTGACTATTCAGCAACTTTTTTAAAAAAGTTATTTTAATTTATTTGAAACACAGAGTGACAGAGAGAGACAGGGAGGCACAGAGAATGAGACCTTCCATCTGCTGGTTTACTCCCCAAATGGCCGTAGCTGGGCCAGGCCAAAGCTAAGAGCCTGGAACTCCAACTGCGCTTCTCCCACGTGGGCGGAAGGGCCCCAAGCACTGCTTTACCAGACACATTAGCAGGGAGCCAGACTGGAAATGGAGCAGCTGGGGCTTGAACCGGCCTCTGATGGGCAGTTTAATGTGCTGCACCACAACACCAGCCCCTGCTGACTCAGCAAATTTGATCCAGCTTTCAAATCCATATGCCCTTTGAGGAATATGATACATGCAGTTTATTAACTACCTACTCAAAAGGTATTCCCTCCTTCTCCCTTACTAATAGAAACTCAATGTTTATGTCCAGGCAGGCCCCTCCCCTCGCCCCAGGCATGAAGTCTTATTAACGAAGACACTCCTGCTTGCCCATTCCCCTCTAAAGACGTTTGCTTTCCAGCCTCCCCGTGGCAACCTCTGAGGCAGAAGCTGCAGGCACCGTGAGGTAAGCAGCCCAGGACAAAAGCCAGCACACTAAGGATGCTGGGGAAGGAAGGAAGGAGCCCGGGCACCAGTATCACAGATACTGGTGCTGGAAATGGATACAGTTACTATGGCAACTGTATACTGTGTCCCTCTGTACCCCAACAGGCGCTGTAACTAAGTCTTTGTATCTAAGCCACTGTTGGTTGGATTTCCTATTTCGGACGACCCAAAGAATTCTTAATTAATTCACTAAGGAGCTCCAATCATTCTTTCATTCATTCAAAAACATTCACTGAGCGCTTTTTTTAATTGAGGGAGAAAGTACGGGTTCTACTTAAGAAATTAGAATTCTACTACAAAGAACTATCCAGATTTATCTGCAAAAATAGACTGTTATATATACGTACAAGAATATTGTTTAATGAAACAACTAGTTAAATACATTAATCATTTTGTGGAATTTTATTAAAAGAATATATATGATGACACGAAAGATTTCAAGGTATGACATTATCCACTTTGTACACATAAAAAAAGAAAAATTTTTAAAGGTTTATTTATTTGAAAGGCAGAGTTACAAAGAGGCAGAGAGAGAGAGAGAGAGAGAGAGAGAGAGGTCTTCCATCCGCTGGTTCACTCCCCAATTGGCCACAACAGCCAGAACTGCACCGATCCGAAGCCAGGAGCCAGGAGCTTCTTTTCCAGGTCTCCTATGCGGATGCAGGGGCCAAGTCTGGAAGAAGCTCCTGGCTCCTGGCTTCGGATCAGCGCAGCTACAGCCGTTGCGGCCAACTGGGTAGTGAACCTGCGGATGGAAGACTCTCTCTCTCTCTCTCTCTCTCTTTCTCTCTCTCTCAGCCTCTCTGTAACTCTGCCTTTCACATAAATAAACAAATCTTTAAAAAAAAAAAAAAAAAGAAAATATTCAAGCAACTACAATAAACCAGCTACCCAACCCTATTCTGCCTCCAAACCACAGTCTCCAATAAAAGAAAGGTCGACAGGGCCCAAAACAAGGACTGAGCCCCCCTCTCCCCTGGACTTGAGACAGACATCCACGGAGAGTCATCCTAGGTTTAGCTTCTACCCAAGTCTCCCACAGCCACACCCAACCAACACCCACGTTCTGTGTTCTCTGAGAGAATGCATCGGCCATCCTTCCTCAATGTCATTCTCGCAATCTCACAGCCACACTCAGAACCCCTCGCTCTCCCCTGAGCTCTCATCTGAGCCCCCAGACAGCATACACAAGAGGGTCAGTAGCAGCCTTTATTGGGGAAGAGAAGCACCACACGGCCACCGCCTAACCACAGGGCTAGTCCCTGTTCTCCAGGCAGCAGCAGCAAGGGGAGCAGGGCAAGGAGGGCCAGGAGTGCCCTGGGATGACGACAAGCCCCAAGATGGCACCTCTTCCCAGCTGCCAGGCCACGCCCCCTAGAGTCAGCGAAAGCTCTGGACAAATCAGGACCACTAGGGCGCCAGGACCTCCGAAAGTAGAAGAAATACCAGGGCACAGCTGGGCCCTCCTGGTTCCAGCTACCCCACCTGGTTTTCTGATCCACCACAGAGAGCCTTGGCACATGTTACTCTCAAAAGCCTTAAATGGCTCCCACTTCCTGGACAACCCAATCCAAACTGGCATTGAAGACTCACTCAGATATCAATCTTGCATCTCCTCTTGCAAAAACAGAAGCTACAGCTGTTCCGTCACCCACCCCTCACCTACCCCCTCATCATGTCACATTCACTCCCACCCCTGTGCCCTTGCTAATGATCACCAGATTGCCAGCTTGCACGTCTCCGGATGCTAGCCCCACTTTGTCACATCTGCCAAGCCTTCAGGGCCTAGATCAAATCACACTTCTACCACGAAGCCCTTCCCCGGGAGCCATACCCACTCTGAACACTATGAGCCCACACTGTACACAAAGGTTCTGTCTGCGACGTAGGATCTTTCCCTCCAGTGAGATTCTTCTTGGCCTTCAAAAGTTCCCTTCCTGGCATCTAAGCCAGCGTTGTACACACAGCAGCTGAGTCCATGGTTGATGCCCACGGACTGGACTCACCTGATTGAGAATCAGACCTGACTGTCCAGTTGGGGTTCATGGTCAGGTCGCAGCACTCCTGGGACACAGAAGCGGCCACAGCCTGACTTGCAGCACTTCTCCCCAGCTGGACAGTTCTCATCCACCACGCAGTTGACGATGCACAGGCCCACCAGAATGTTCGGACAAACACCACTTCGTCCTGTGGGGAAAAAGGAAGGTGGAAAAAAGACAGGATGCCAGCTCCGCTGTCTACAGGTTCCCGTCTAGAACCCAGACCCTGGAGCCCGGGGTCAATCAACCCGTGACCCAAACTAAATCAAAACCAAACTCTCTGGGAAATTGGGAGGCTGCAGGGTATCTAGAAATCTGTAAGGACTCAAGGAATCTCTGAGCCAAGAGTCTTCTCGTGGTGTCCCAGAGGAAGTCCCCTAGAAGTGACTCAGGAGTTGATAGCTCTGCAGGTGTGGGGACAAAGATGGCAAGCCCCCCAGACCACCACCTCTCCTCCTGCACTTTAGCCTTGTCACTCCTCAGGGAGGCCTTCTCAGCCACCCTGGATGAATTATAGTGCCCCTGCCTTGTGCACCCACAGCATTCTCCATGAAACTTTATTACAATTCCTTATTTATCTATTAATCTTCCCTGATAGGCTGTAAGCTCTACATTAACGAGTCTATCCCCAGTGCCTCGAGCTTTGCCTGGGACCCTAAAGAGACTAAGACAACATCTGCATCAAGGATTTTGAAAGGGAGCTGCCCAGTGCCTGGCACAAAAGGAACACTCAAAAGCACACTCTTTGGGGCCGGCGCTGTGGCACAGCGGGTTAACGTCCTGGCCTGAAGTGCCAGCATCCCATATGGGCACCAGTTCTGGTCCTGGCTGCTCCTCTTCCGATCCAGCTCTCTGCTGTGGCCTGGGATGGCAGTAGAAGACTGCCCAAGTCCTTGGGCCCCTGCACCCATGTGGGAAACCCAGAAGAAGCTCCTGGCTCCTGGCTTCGGATCGGCACAGCTCCGGCCATTGCGGCCATCTGGGGAGTGAAACAGCAGATGGAAGACCTCTCTCTCTGTCTCTACCTTTCTCTGTAACTCTGTCTTTCAAATAAATAAAATAAATCTGTTAAAAAAAACATACTATTTAAAAAATATTGAAGAAACAAAGGAATAACAATCAAAATGTTTTTATTTATTGTATATATACTCATATACAAGGGTACTTCAAAAAGTTCATGGAAAATGGAATTAGAAAATAAGGTTATCTTGGTGTAAAAAAAATGTTGAAATCTATACAAAGTTGCCTTTAAAAGTTTAAAAAAAATGCCTATTGTAAAAAAAGCCATGAATGGACTTCAATATTTCTGCATCAAAATAAACATTGTTTTGCAAATGTTTTTATTTTCATTTACTTAAAAGGCAGAACAACAGAGAAATTCCCAAAACAGCTAGAGGTAGGCCTGGATGAAGCAGGAAACTGGAACTCCATCTGGGTCTTCCATGTGGGTAGCAGGGACCCCATATCTGAGCCATCATCTCCTCCCAGGATGCATGAGCAGGAAGCTGGACGGATCAGAAGCAGTACAGCCAAGACTCCCAGCAGTGGGCACTCCAGTATGGGAGGTAGGTGTCCCAGGCAGTAGCTTAATTCACTGTGCCATAACTCCCACCCCAGCCTATCTTGTTCTTGTGACTTTTATTTTCTTATCTTCATTTTTATTTGAAAGGCAGAAAGTCAGAGATCTTCCATTTGCTGGTTCATGCTCCAAAAACCCATAACAGCCAGGGTTACGCCAGGCTGAAGTCAGGAGCACAGAACTCCAGCCAGGTCTCCCCCGTAGGTGGCACATAGGGACCTGTGTACCTAAGCTATCATCTGCTGCCTCTCGGGGTGCACATTAGCAGGAAGCTGGAACTGGGAGTGGAGTTGGGACTAAAGCCAGGCCCTGGGATGAGGCATGTGGCCCTTCCAAGTGGTGTCTGAACCACTAAGTCAAACACTCACCCTAAACCCTTTTCAATCCATTTTGCTGCAAACTTTGGGAAGGACCCTCATAAGTTGCTTCCAACTAAGATTTCACCTGAGATGGAGGAAAGCTTCGTACTAAAAATTAGGTCTGAATGCCAGTGACCTTGGGAAACTCCCTCATTTGACAGATGAAGAAACGTGGGCTCAAAAAGAGGGGTTTATTGTGTGGGAGACCGGGAAGACGCACAGCTGCGGGCACTGCAGCCACCTGGGGAGTGAACCAGCGGATGAAGATGGCACTCTGCTCGCTCGCGCTGTCTCCCTCTCTGTCTCTGTCTCTTTCTCTCTGCCTCTCCGTAACTCTGCCTTTCAAATAAATAAAAATTTTTTTAAAAACAGAGGGATTTGTTTGCCAACAGTCACAGAGCAAATCTGCAGCAGATCAAGACCAGAAGCTACGCTTCCAGGCTCTCTGCCTAGGGATTTTTCAGTACTGCCCCATCCCGCCTTCCCCTAGATCTGTTATTTATGTTTTTTTTTTTTTTCCCAAAATAAACCTTTTATTTAATGAGTACAAACTTCGTAAGTACAACTTTAGGAATACAGTGATTTTCCCCACCATACCCGCCCTCCCACCCACCCCACCTCCTCTTCTCTCTCCCATTCCCTGTCCAATTTCCCATTAAGATTCATTTTGAATTAACTTTATACACAGAAGACCCAATCTATACTAAGTAAAGATTTCAACAATTTACACACACACAAAAAAACTGTTTGAGAACAAGTTTTACAGTTAATTTTCATAATACATCCCCTAGTTATTTTAGTGCCAATATTGTCTCTTTGAACCTAGAGGGAAGAGTTCCTTTATTCTGGGGGTTCTGCAGCACAAGAAAAACGATGGCGCTGGGTCCTCCCAGGAAGTGAGAGAGACCACTGGTGGCTTCCCTCCCAAATCATTGCTAGGACTCATGGGAACACTCCAGTATTTCTTCCCAAAAGAACCAACTTACCTCCCTCAATGTCTCCACGGCAGGTGTGGCCACAGCCGGTGCTGCAGCATTTATGCCCCTGGGGACAGGAGTGGTCCCCATCACACAGTTCCTCACATGGAAGGGGGTCAGCAGGACACTCAGCGCCAAACTCTGCCAGAGAATCAGAACATTGGAGACCAGGGTATGAAATATTTCCTCATTGCATTCGACGTGCATATTTATGTGCGTGTATGTAAAATGTACATATTTATATGCATCATGGATATGCAGTGCTCTCTGGCATTTTATATCATTTCCATTTCTCCTTTTTTTTTTTTTTTGACAGGCAGAGTGGACAGTGAGAGAGAGAGACAGAGAGAAAGGTCTTCCTTTTGCCATTGGTTCACCCTCCAATGGCCGCCGCGGCCGGCGCACCGCGCCTATCCGAAAGCAGGAGCCAGGAGCCAGGTGCTTCTCCTGATCTCCCATGGGGTGCAGGGCCCAAGCACTTGGGCCATCCTCCACTGCACTCCCAGGCCATAGCGAAGAGCTGGCCTGGAAGGGGGGCAACCAGGACAGAATCCGGCGCTCCAACCGGGACTAGAACCCCGTGTGCCAGCGCCACTAGGTGGAGGATTAGCCTAGTGAGCAGCGGCGCCGGCCTCTCCTTTTCTTTTCTTTTTTTAAGTGCTGGCCATAAACTACAGAATTGATTTTAGCACTCACAGTTTGCAAACCACCACTCAGCTCTAACCCACTGTGGCAAACACGCTAGCTGCCAGCCCCACATCTGTGCTCCCCTCCTTCCTATTGCAGCAGACATTTACACGGGTGGCCCTCAGTGAGCTACAGCTCCAGGGATTCACGCCTTTGTGTAGTCCTCTCTCCTGTGGACTCTGGGCTTCCCCACACGACTTCAGCATATGACGTGGACGTTAGCAAGTATGACACAGGCAGAGCTTTGATAGGCACTTGCATACTGGGGCTTGTCCTCTTACAACATCCGCTGTCAGAAACCAACTGCCATGCCAGAACGCAGCATGGGCTAAGACTACAGAGTGGTGAGGCCTCACAGAGAGAGGATATGGAGGAAGACAGTCCACCCTGGTCATTCCAACCTAGTAGACATCCCCAGTGAGCTCCCAGCTGAATGCAACTGCCTGAGTGACCACAGCTACACCATATGTGTACATGAACTGCCCTGCTAGGCCCAAGCAAACCACACAATCATGAGAAAGAATAAACCATTGTTGTTTTAAGCTACTAAGTTTGATGATGATTTGTTATGCAGCTATGAACTGAAACATTTTTTTTAAAGATTTATTTATTTATTTGAAAGTCAGAGTTACACAGAGAGAGGAGAGGCAGAGAGAGAGAGAGAGGTCTTTCATCCAATGGTTCACTCCCCAATTGGCCCCAACAGCCAGAGCTGTGCCGATCCGAAGCCAGAAACCAGGAGCTTCTTCCGGGTCTCCCATAAGGGAGCAGGGGCCCAAGGACTTGCACCATTTTCTATTGCTTTCCCAGGCCATAGCAGAGAGCTGGATCATAAGTGGAGCAGCCAGAACTAGAACCGGCGCCCATATGGGATGCTGGTGCTTCAAGCCAGGGCATTAACCAGCTGCGCCACAGCGCTGGCTCTCTGAAACATTTATTAATAGAAACCCAGGGAGTCCAGCCAAATTGAGGTCTTCTCCATAATCTGTTGCAAGTGGTTTTGACCACAAACCAAGACATCACTGGGACAACCCTTGCATTCCATACACAGGGCATCTCCCTTCCAAATTGCCCTCTCTTTCTTTCTTCTTCCAGTCCAAAGACAGACATAACACAGAGGCAGAGCAGCCTTCTACCACCAGGAAGCAAGCAGCAGGAGGACAAAGTCAAGGACTGTGAGGGAGAAAGAGAGACACAGCTTCACCCTTGTCAGCATCATGAAGCCACCTGACCAGCTCTGCCCCTACTCTGGAACTTCCTGTTATCTGAGAAAACTGAATCCCTATTTGGTTAAGTTACTGTTGTGTGCAGCCCAACACATTCTTGCTCCATCCCTTCATCATCACTAAGAAGGAGACTCAAAGAAGAGAAAGGGCCTGCCCAGAAGTGCAGAATGAGTCAGGACAAAGCAGGACAAACAGCATCTTCACTGGCAGTGAGTACTTTCTACTGCCCGCTGTTCAAACACGTGGCACCGGGCCAGGTCCTCAGAAGCAGGCACATCCAAACAAACCCACTACCATGACTCATTCGTCTCAGTGTTTGTCCAAGTTTCTGAAATGAAGGGAAAGGTGATAGGCAATTAAAGCCTTTGTAGAAAACCGAAACAGGACAGTAAGTGTGGTCGCATGTGCCTGGCTCCAGGAAGTCTGTCATGATGGAAAGGCCAGTGCTGGGCTCCGGGGAGAACAAGGGAGGCATGCTAACGCTGCACTCTGAGATCCTCCTCATCGGCCCTCACTGCAAGTCTTCTCTGCCACTGTGAGATCAGTCCAGACTATATGTATTGATTTTTTATTCACAAAATATGCTCCCTGGGACCCACAGATGCACCTCCCCACACTTCCCCACCTGCTTGACAAACGCTGAAGTCCATGTAACAATGAACAAAAGTCTTTTGTCCAAGAGTTGAGAAGCCAGATCATAAAAACCTGCCTGCTGGAAAAACTCGGTGTCAGAAGTTCCACACGGAGTTATGCCATGTGCCCCACAAATCAGGTACGTAGAGCACCACACCTCCCAGATCTGACCGCCGCGCGGAGTCTGGCCCTGAAGCGACCAATCCCAGGAGCATCCTGCTATTCTCCGCCCTCAATCTCAGGACCAGAGAGATCTTGTCTTGACTCTTCCAGCCCAGACTTCCTTGTGATCCTTGGGGTTTTGCCAAACTTTACAAGCAATAAAGGGACCCTCAGAGGAGGGGCTGAGACCCACGTGATCAGAAAACACCCCTGTGACCAGTACTCAGAGAGCCCACCACTCTGACAGCCGGTCTAATGCTGAATCCTGCCAAACAACCTGTCTCTCAGCTTGCACATCTGGAATCAACGAGGCCTCACTACCTCCTAGCCAGACTACACCATCCTTGTCCTTACACTAGACAGTCTTTCCTTTATACTCTGAAATCTGGTTCTCTGGAAATTCTATCTTCTGAGCCTTTCCCCATCCCAAGAGACATTACAAAAACATGGCTCCTGAGATCTCCTGAGACCATATCCTCTGCCTCTCACTGCCAGCTTTGACAGGCTGGGCAAGCTCAGTTCCTCATAGGATGTGGGTCCCACAGTTACCTCACCAGGAACCAGGATGAGACAAAGGACTGAGAGCCAGGACGGGGAGAGCATCCCTACTGTCCATCTGCATGACCCAAACCCCAAGTTTTCAGCAAACAAGCAGTGCGGTGGAAGCCCAGGAAGCAGCCACACCCCATCGTGACTACTGCTTTGGCTCCAGTTTCCCATGTCTGAAAGAAGAAGGCCAGTTACTGCGAGAAAAGCAGAATTCCAGAACTTCTCAAGCCAAGAAGGGCCCTTTGAGCTACCAAATCTCTTCCTGCTCTCCTGGAAATACAGACAGACACCCAAGTTGGGAAAGGATTTGCCTGAGACCAGTGGTGGCAAAACTGGGTCCCAACCTTCAACTCTGACATGAGCTCTTATGTCCTTTAAACCACATCTTTGTGATCCCCTACACTCCAGCAAGGGTCACCCAAAAAACACATCAGTCAGGATGGGGCCTCACTCGGCTCAGAGCTTCCAACATATAAAGCCCAGTGGTAAGGGCAGGAGTTGTACAGGGGCTGAGCCATCACTTGGGAATGCCATATCACATATCAAGAGTGCCTGGTTTGAGTGCTAGCTACTCTGCACTTCCAGTCCAGCTTCCTGCTAAATGTACCTAAGAAGGCAGTGAATAATGTCCTACTTGGGTTCCTGCCACCCACATGAGAGACCTAGATAGTTTCTGGTTCTTGGCTACTGGCTCAGGCCTGGGACTAGCCCTGACTATTGTGGACATTTGGGGAGTGCGCCAGCAGGTAGAAGAAATCTCTTGGGGCTAGCACCATGGCGCAGTGGGTTAGTCCTCCTCCTGCAGCACCAGCATCCCATATGGGCGTGGGTTCTAGTCCCAGCTGCTCCTCTTCAGATCCAGCTCTCTGCTACGGCCTGGGAAAGCAGTAGAGGATGGCCCAAGTGCTTGTGCCCCTGCTCCCCATGGGAGATGCAGAAGAAGCTCCTGGCTCCTGGCTTCGGATCGGCACAGCTCCAGCCATTGCAGCAGATTGGGGAGAGAACCAGCAGATGGAAGACCTCTCTCTCTCTCTCTGTCTGTCTCTCTCTGCCTCTCCTTCTCTCTCTCTGTAACTCTGACTTTCAAATAAATAAATAAATCTTTAAAAAAATATCTCTCAGGCCAGCACCGCGGCTCACTAGGCTAATCTTCCGCCTATGGTGCTGGCATCCCAGGTTCTAATCCCGGTCGGGGCACCGGATTCTGTTCCGGTTGCTCCTCTTCCAGTCCAGCTCTCTGCTGTGGCCCGGGAAGGCAATGGAGGATGGCCCAAGTGCTTGGGCCCTGTACCCGCATGGGAGACTAGGAGGAGGCACCTGGCTCCTGGCTTCGGTCATTTGGGGGGTGAACCAATGGAAGGAAGACCTTTCTCTCTGTCTCTGTCTCTCTCTCTCACTAACTCCGCTTGTCAAAAAAAAAAAAATCTCTCTCTCTCTCTCTCTCTCTCTCTCTCTCCTGCCTCTCCTCTCACTGTGTAACTGTGACTTTCAAGTAACATGAATAAATCTTTTTTAAAAAAAAAAGACCTCTCGACCCCTGCTCTTCTTCCCTGGCCTCTCGCCAGGACAGGGCTTGCTGTAGCCCTGCCCCTCCAGGGCGCATGGCCCTCGGGCCATGTGCTCTAGGCTTCCTGGCCTAGATGCTCATCAACGTGGCTGGTTCCTGGTGCTCGGTATGAACCCCCATTCACCTCTCTCCCCTAAATAAAGCTCTCACTCTCCTATGCATCTTTCTCACTAAATAAAAGCTTAAAACATAAAAAAAAGACCTCTCTCTCTGTCTCTCTCTCTTTCTCTCTCTCTCTCTATAACTCTGCCTTTCAAATAAATACATAAATCTTTTTTTAAAATTAAAAGAAAATCATCAAAAGGAAAAAGAGGAAAACAGGTACAGTTTTCCCTGAGTCCTCTTTCAGTAGAGTCACACAGAACCCACTAAATTCCTCTGGCATAGCATTGTGACAACACATGCAAGGTGTTGTCTACTAGGGAAATTCATTAAATACTCAGTGTGCAAGGTTTTAATTTGAGGCTGTTAACATAGGCACCTTCTGCCTCGCACATACCAAGATTCCAGACTCTGAGAAGGAAGGCAGAGAGGCTCAGCCAACATCACATGACTCGCACAATCAGTTTAGGTACAGCGAGGCACTCTCCTTAGTTAGGGTGATAGGAACATTCCCAAATCCACGTTCCCGGGAGCCAGCCAAGAGCCCACCTTGCCAGCAAGCCTTTCTAGGAATAGCAGCCTTGGTTCTGCTATGTTAACTCTTTTTCTGTGCAACCAGCAGTGAGTTTGTCGAAAAAGGTCAACCAGACACACAGAGAGCCTGCTCCATCAATCCATACAAAGAATGTGTTGTAGTAAGCAAAAGAGTCACAGGGGGTCCAGAGCAGCCACACTTCGTAGAGTGGGGAAGCGGGCCACGGCAGGGCAGGGGGAGGGGGTAGGCGTGGGTGGCAGCCAAGAGGACAGCTCTCGGCTTAATCTGAATCTTCAAAGCTCGTCCTCCCCGAGTTCCTGTCTTCTCGGTAAGGAGCACCACCGTCGTCCACAGCCCAAGCCAGAGGGCTAGCATCTCTCTCTCCCTCAGCGGCTGCAGCCGCATCCGTCTTCACTCGGTCCCATGAACCCCACACTCAGAAGTACCTTGAGCCTCCCACTTCTCCACGCCTGCATCGTCACCTCGCACCTAAGCCTCCACGTTGGCTGCTTAACCCATCTTCCACCGTCTACACTTGCCCACATCCTTTCTCCAAACATCAAAAGAGCAGTCTCTTCTAAATGAAAACTAGACCAACCCCCTGCTTTTAGAACCCCTCAAAGACTTCCTTTTGTACTTAGAATAAAGGCTAAGAGAGAAGCCCTGAACACCCCGTAAAGTCTGGGCTCTGCCTACCACTCCAAGCTCAACTAGGATCCCTCTCCCTCTCCTCTCCTCCAAACACCGGCTTCCTTCCGCTTCTCAGACCCAGCTGCAAGCGCTCCACACCTCCCAGCCTTTGCTCTCGCAGTTCCATCTTGCGGCAGCCCGTGCAATGGCCGGCTCCTTCTCATTCTCTGAGTTAAAAAAGACACAGCCTCTGCACCACTCTAAGTTTCCTTCACAGCACACACTGCAGCCTGTGGTCATTCTTCATGTGTCTACTTGCTTATTTCCTGTCTCTCCCAGCACGGATGAGCACTGTGAGAGCACACCATGGCTGCCTTGCTTACCACTGGATACCCAAATGCCAAGCAGGTAGCTGCACAATGTGCACTGACTAAATGCATAAGGAAGGGAGGAAGCAAACGGACAGGCCAGACTCCAGGTAAGTGGGGAGGAGCCTGAACAGAGAGGTGCTGGGTACAACTCCACAGCTACGGAACAGAGAGGTGCTGGGTACAACTCCACAGCTGCTAACACTGCTTGGCAAGTTTAGTGAAGGCTTTTAAGATGCATTTCTTCTAAATTGCGTCATCACTCTATGAGGTAAATATCCTCATTCCCATTTCATAGATGACATGATTGAGGTTCAGGGACTTGCTCAGGTCTACAGAGCAAGCAAGCAGAAGAGCTAGGATTCAGTCTTATGTTCAGACCAGAATGCCCGCTACGAGCAGGTCCCAGGGTTTTCTCTGTGCCCTGGCAAACTCCCCTCCACCTTGCCAAACAGACCAGCATTGGCTGAGGCAAACCTCTGGCAGGGTCAGAGCTTAACGAAAAGCAAACATTTTTTCACAGTCCAAGAAGGACATCCTAAGGGTACAGCAAACAATCCTGCTGTGTGAAGGAACCAGCCCTCCCCCAGGACGAGAGCTTTGGAAAAGTAGATAACTACTAACAACAACAACAACAGCTACTACTACTACTACTACTCATACTATTGGGGCCGGCACTGTGGTGTAGCAGGTGAAGCTGCCACCTGTGGTGCCGGCATCCTATATGGGCACCGGTTCAAATTCCAGCTGCTAGACAGTGAGACCGGTTCAAGTTCCGGCTGCTCCACTTCTTTTTTTTTTTTTTTTTTTTTTTTTAGAGTTAGACAGTGAGAGAGAGAGACAGAGAGAAAGGTCTTCCTTGTTCCATTGGTTCACCCCCCAAGTGGCCGCTATGGCCGGTGCGTTGCAGCCAGTGAACTGCGCCAATCCGAAGCCAGGAGCCAGGTGCTTCCTCCTGGTCTCCCATGCGGGTGCAGGGCCCAAGGACCTAGGCCATCCTCATCCTCCACTGCACTCCCGGGCCACAGCAGAGAGCTGGACTGGCAGAGGAGCAACCGGGACAGAATCCAGTGCCCCAACCGGGACTAGAACCCAGGATGCTGGCACCGCAGGCGGAGGATAAGCCTAGTGAGCCGCGGCGCCGGCCATGCTCCACTTCTGATCCGGCTCTCTGCTGTGGCTTGGGAAGACAATGGAGGATAGCCCAAGTCCTTGGGCCCCTGCACCCACATGGAAGACCCAGAGGAAGCTCCTGGCTCCTGGCTCCTGGCTTCAAATCTGTGCAGCCCCAGGAGTTGCGGCCATCTGGGAAGTGAACTGGCAGATTGAAGACCTCGCGTTCTCTCTCTCTGCCTCTCTGTGATTCTGCCTTTCAAATAAATAAATAAATCTTTAAAAAGAATATACTAGGCCGGTGCCGTGGCTCACTAGGCTAATCCTCCGCCTTGCGGCACCGGCACACCGGGTTCTAGTCCCGGTCGGGGCGCCGGGTTCTGTCCCGTTGCCCCTCTTCCAGGCCAGCTCTCTGCTGTGGCCAGGGAAGGCAGTGGAGGATGGCCCAAGTGCTTGGGCCCTGCACCTCATGGGAGACCAGGAGAAGCACCTGGCTCCTGCCATCGGATCAGTGTGGTGTGCCGGCCGCAGCGGGCCGTCTGCGGCAGCCATTGGAGGGTGAACCAACGGCAAAAAGGAAGACCTTTCTCTCTGTCTCTCTCTCTGACTGTCCACTCTGCCTGTCCAAAAAAAAAAAAAGAATATACTAACACTACTGGCAGGCAATATTGCCTCCTAGCAGGCTAGGAACACCCCCAGGCAGGCACTAGGAGACCAGCAGGAGGTCACAATTCTAGCCTGTCCGCCTAGCTCCAGGGGAAAAGGAAGCCTCATCTGGGTTGGCCATGGGCCAGAGCAGTTCACAAAGCTCCTGTGCCTGGGTGCCAGCCTCACCCTTAGCCCCACAAGTTAGCCATCAGCTGCAAACACTGGGAAGATTGTACTAAGCCCTACAAGCCGGCGGTGAGTGATCCGCCTGCTACAGATTCCCAGGCTTTGGTTACAGAGCCAGGCCTCAAGAGTCCTGGCAAGGAGTACAACCTTCTATTCTCCCTTATGGGCAAGCTGCCCAAGATAGCTGCCCCAGCTGGGCAGAAACAGCCACAGTGGGTACTGGGAAAGGACATGCTACCTGGAGTGCTTTGGCTGCAAGGAAAGACGTTGTCACATGTCACGGAGTCTCAGGGTCTCAGAGAGGAAGTGAATGGGGGAAGAGAAACTGTACCCACGATGCAGTCCTCCGTAGGAGACAAGAGGAAGGAAGCTAATGTATACTGAGAGCCACTTTACACACTTGGACTCATTACAACAGCCGGCCAAGGGTTTTCCTTCATCTTACAGAGAAAGGAACAGAGGCAGAGAAGCAGAAGAGACTTTCCATGGACCTGCTGGCCGTTAACGAGTGAGCCCCAGGCTCGAACCCAGGCTTTTTTACTCTAACTGCTACATGCGCTCACATGAGAGAATTGTTCCAGGTCCTTTAGAAGACATGATGGAAGATCCCAGCTAGGACAACAGAGGAGAAGAGAAAATATTGAGGCATAAACTATTCAAGCAATGTGTTAAAGCTGTGAAACACTCTGACATACACCAAAAACACTTGAACAGTGGGAGAAGCCATAAAGACTCAACACTGTAATAATGTCAGCTCTAAGTTAATTTATATAGCGAACACCACTCCCAAAAAAGTAACCTCAATACTTGGGAAGAGAGAGAAACAGACAACATGATAAAAATAGGTATATATTTGGGTGGCCATCGTTTGGCGCAGGGTTAAGCTGCTGCTTGGGAAACCCACATCCCATACTGGAGTGCCAGGCCCGGTCCTAGCACCTCTGCTTCTGATCCAGAGTCCCACTAATGCATCCTAGGCAGCAGATTGCGGGTACATTCTTGGTTCTCTGCCACCCAATGGGACACCCAGAGAGAGTTCTGGCCTTCTGGCTTCTGCATGTTGTGGCTGGCTGTTGTGAGCAGTTGTGGGAATTTGGGGAGTGAACCAGTGGTTGGAAGATATCCCTCTCTTTCTCTCTCTCCCTCTTTCTGTCACTCTTTCAAGTAGATGAAGATAGATTATATTGCATAAATAAATATATATATATTGAAATTATATGCTTAGGGGCTGGCACTGTGGCATAGCATGTAAAGCCACTATCTGTAGTGCCAGCATCCCATATGGGTGCTGGTTCTGGTCCCGGCTGCTCTAGGAAAAACATGGAACCTCTAGTAAGCCCAACTGGAAGCCCTCACTCCGAGGTCAGGGAGGGTCAGGAAAGCCAGAAAGACTGGCTGGGCTGTCCTGAGAACCTAATTACCCAGCCCTGTCCTCCAGGACACCAGCACCGCCACAGATGAGGACCCTCCCACTGGGAGAAGGCTGGGGCTGACTTCCCCACGAGCCCCTTTCTGTTCCTGCTCGCGGCGGGTCCCAGATGGCAGCTTACCACGCTCTCCTGCGATCAGCCAGGATGCCAGGGTCGCAAGAGCAAACGCCCTCAGAAGGAAGACGCGGCCTGACATCGTGAAGACGCTGAGAGCTGAGAGGAGAAAGCGGACAACTTGCCTGGGGAACGGGCAGTCCCAAAGTCTTGCCTGACGCAATATCCCCAGGAACGTCTCCCGGCAAGAAGCCTGATTGGTGGCTTATGTGTGGAAAATTCCTGGCACTACCAAAGGACACACAGGAGGGGTGATCCACTTCTGCAACGCAGCAGGCACAACAGCCCTGCACACTGACAAGGAATCCAGCAAGTAGATGGGGAAATGGCGGGGCGGCCATTGGGTAGAGGATCAAAGAGAACCCCAGAGGGTTTGGGGAGGACACAGCCGCCGCTGAAACGACAGAGGGAAGGAATAGAGGCACAACTTCACAAGAAAATTACCAACACTAAGAAAACTGGCCAAGTGTAGCAACATGGTGCCCCGTTCATCTAACAACCTAGAAAAGCCAGAATGGGAATGGCTCAAGGGCCTGGGCTCCTGCCGCCCACGTGGGAGAGCCAGATGGAACTCCAGGCTCCTGGCTTCAGCCTGGCCCAGCCAGGACTGTTGCAGCTACTTGAAGAGCAAACTAGCAGATGGAAGATTCATTCTCTCTCTCTCTCTCTCTAACTCTGCCTTTCAAATAAATCTTTTCTAAAAAAATCACTTAAAAACTATGAAAAATCAGTATTTGGGTGTTTTCAATACAAAATGCACCAATACAAATGCACCAAAAACCTGTGTCTGGGTCTCTGTATCCCACATAGGCCGGGATAGGTAGGAAGGCTGGCCGGCAGAGTCCGAGAGAGCAGACTCCGTGACTCCAACAGTCTGGTCCACAGACGCCCCTTTTATCTCTTCTTCCTCTGTCTCTGTCCATTTTCCTTTGTCCTGCTCTTCCCTCTGTCCGCTGGCACTGCTTAGCCCTGGGAACTGACAGAGCGGCAGACACCAGGCACAAGGCACAAACCTCCTTGACAGTGCCAGGAAGTTTGCCTCCGAGTTAGCAGCTGGTGTCAGAGCGCGGCGGTAAGTGCCACATGTTGATCACCTAATACTCGAATTGCTGCACACATACGTATCTCATATATCTACTGAAGAGCCAAAGTGGCTCCATTTAAAAAAGTAAATAAAAAGCAGCCTCTGTTTCCCGTAGCAGACCCGAGTCCTTGTAAAAGCAGGCATTCAGGCATTCTGGAGAGATCAAAGCTTACCAAGGACAGCTCAGCAGACCAAGGGCAGCTCAGTAGAGAGTGCCAAATGAGGTAACTCCCTGCACCCAAGCCAAACAGAGACACCCCCCTCCGACTAAGAGCAACCGGGAACTGCCCTGCCCAATCACAAAAGGCCCGGCACCCTGACGTATCTTCCCTTTAAAAGCGTCCCGAACAAAGACCTGGGCCTTCCTCTGACCTCCGCTGGTCAGATAAGGCCCCTGCCGGGCTTGTACTTTTAAAATAAACCTTGCTTTTGCAGGTCGGTGTGATGGGGTCGCTGATAGCTTCTTGGGGATCTACTTATCTGAGCACAACATCTATGATTTACTTCAATCCTCACAATACTCTTGCAAAACCGATTCCGAGGGGCTGAGAAAAAAATGGCCAAAGGCGGTGTATGGCCGCTAGAATTTCCTACGGGAACGACAGATGGCACCGTTTGGGGGTTTACCCGTGCCAGACTTTGGCGCGCTTAACATGAATCAACTCACTTAATTCTCACCGCGACGCTATAAACTAGGTGCTATTAACCCCATCTTACGGCCGGGGAAACTGAGGCCCGCGAATCCCACAGCTCCTAAGAGGGAGGAACAAAGGCAGGCGATCCAATTCCACAGCCAATGCCCTAACCACCATATCATAACGGATTTCAACCCATTTCTTGTTAACCGCAAAGACTCGCGCACTTGGTGCTACCCCATGGTGCGACCGGAGACTGAGGCGAGAGACGGCGGCGCGGTTCCCCTGGCAACGCCGCGGCGCTCCGCGGCGAGCTTCCGGGCCGGCGAGCGGCGCGCTCCAGTGACGTCACAGAGCCACTTTCCGGCCGGTGGCAGAGTCGGGCAGAAGTTGTGGTGGCCGGGGGCGCCATGGGGGCCACTGGCGACGCCGAGCAGCCGCGGGGACCCAGCGGGACAGAGCGGGGCGGCCCGGAGCCGGGGGATGCGAGCGCAGCTGGGCAGCTGGTTCTCACGGTGAGGACGCCCCCGCTGAGGCCTGAGCTCGGGCCGGCGGGGGCCTCGGGCTCCCGGGACCCTGGCCCGCGGGCGAGAGAACGCGGCGGCTGGTGCTGCCCGAGGGGGTTGGCGTTTTCGCAGTCCCACGACCTGGGTTCAAATTCTGGTGCCGCCCTCCCGGCGAGGTGACGTGGGCCGGTCCTGGCACCCCCCTCTAGGCTGCTCTAACATAAAATGGAGAGGAATGGTGCCTGTCCCTTCGAAGTTGTCGGGATGGGGTGACAGATGCAGGTAAAGCTCCCGGCACCCGAGTGGCCTTGAGCCGTTCCAGGAAAGGCGGACCTGGGACGTTTGGGACAGGAAACTTCCTCAGGCCCTCTTCCCGGGCGGGGCCTGTCCACCCGGTGGGAGACATGGAGAGAGCAGCCGAGGTGCAGCGGGGTCCAGGCTAGTCCTCGCACGCACCTCCCCCTCCACGCCGCGTCAGTGTCACCGGCTTCAGTGACGTTTGCTCCCTCGCTTGGTCCCCGCAGAACCCTTGGAACATTATGATAAAGCACCGTCAAGTGCAGCGAAGGGGCCGCCGCTCTCAGATGACAACAAGGTAAGGCCGGCCCTGGCTGGAACCGATCCCAGGGCTGGCTTGGACCGATGCTGTGGGACCCCCACCGCACAAGCCTGAGAAGAGATCTGCAGCCGGGGGAAGGAGGCGCTGTGGGCGCTGTGGCCGTGACCTTGAGCTGAACTCTTCTGCAAAGTGGGGGGGTGGGGGGAACGGCACCCGAAATCCCTAACATTCCCTGGCTCCGGGGTGGAGGGCGCCAGAGAGGTCTCAGAGCCTCGAGGTTGGCATCCCAGGCCCCGAGTCGGACAACCCGACCTGTATTAGCTGGGTGACTTGGACAGGCCGCCTTGCCTCCCTGAGCCTGTTTGTTCAGCGGTCCCAGGGAGCTAAGAGCAGTGTCTGTGTCAGGGAAGGGAGATGGTGCCGCCCCCTGAGCCCCCTGACCGCCTCCCTCCCTCCCTCCCGGCAGTTTCACAGACCCGGCCATCTCCATGGATCTCCTCCGGGCTGTCTTGCAGCCGAGCATCAATGAGGAGATCCAGACGGTCTTCAACAAGTACATGAAGGTGAGGAGACAGGAGGGTGCGAAACTGACAGGGAGAGTCCTGGGCAGCCTCGCCCTTCCCTGCCGCACTGGTGTCTCTCTGTCTCTGTGTCTCTCTCTATGTCTCCCTTGCCCTCACCCTGTGCCCCTAGAATGCTTTTTTTGCCTTTTTTTTTTTTTTTTTTTTTTTAAGTGTAATATGCTTAGCACCATGTTTGGAAAATAACCACTGTTTTTATTACTTGATATTAACATCGTTATCATTTAAAATTATTTCCTTGGCCGCTACATAGCTCTGCCTGAGTGTCCCATGGGTGCTTCAAACTTAGCACATTCAGAACTAAACTCTTTCTTTCGAAGCCTCCTCTTCTGTGTAGTCATGTATTCAAGAAGCATTTACCGAGCGGCCGCCGTGCTGCACGTGCCGTCCTCGGCATTAGCACTGTAGCTGTAAGAAAGCAGACACTGTGCTCGCCCTTTGTAAACAAGTGTGTGTGTGTGACACGAGGGAATGAGAGAAGAGGGGTTGGGAAGGCCCTCCGAGAGGGGGCTTTGTGTGAAGACCCAGAGAGCGTGAGGGAAGAGCAAGCCTGGCAAATGTGTGGGAGGTAAGAGTCCGGCCACAGGGAGGAAGGAACTGGCCGGTGTGACTGCAGCCCGCTGTGCAAGGAGAGTGACTGGTGACCAGAGAGGCGCCCCTCCTGCTGGGAAATCCAGATCCCTTCCCTTGGCGTATGTGGCCACTGGGATGAAATAGCCACCTTTCCCCACGTGGGTCCCCATGCCCTGGGCATGTCCCACACCCCCACACCTTTACAGACCTAGAAATGTAAAAGGGAAGCCACGAGAGAAGGGTAGGCCAGACTTCACTGCAGGCTGCTTCCCTGTGGTGGATTTGCTGATTCAGTGTTTCTCTCCTGCACAAACGCTGGGTAAACACAGTCTGTGGCCATGAGCTCCTTCTGATAGCGTCTGTGAAGATGCCTTCTTACCACACTCATTTTTCTTTAAAGATTTTATTTATTTGTTTGAGAGGTAAGTTACAGACAGTGAGAGGGAAGGACAGAGAGAGAGGTCTTCCTTCCGCTGGTTCACTCCCCAAATGGTGTCAACGGCCGGAGCTGTGCCATTCCGAAGCCAGGAGTTTTTACCAGGTCTCCCAGGCAGGTGCAGGGCCCAAGCACTTGGGCCATCCTCCACTGCCTTCCCAGGCCACAGCAGAGAGCCGGATTGGAAGTGGAGCAACCGGGACTAGAACCGGCGCCCATATGGGATGCCGGCGCTTCAGGCCAGGGCTTTAACCCACTGCACCACGGCGCTAGCCCCCACCACACTCATTTTTCAACAAGTTGCAAATGAATTGATTGCATCACAGCTTCAGATAAGTTAACACTCTTTAAAAATGTATGTATGTATGTATGTATGTATGTATATTTATTTGAAAAATAGAGTGACAGAGCTCTTCCATCCATTGGTTCACTCTCCAGATGTCCACAACAGCCAAGTCTGGGCCAGGCCAAAACCAGGAGCCAAGAACACCATCCAGGTTTCCCATGTGGGTGGCAAGAGCCCAAGTACTTGGACCATCATGCACAGACTCCCAGGCACATTAGCAGGAAGGTGGATCAGAAGCACAGAGTAGCTGGGACTCAAACCAGGCATTCTAGTATGGGCTGCAGGTGCCCCACACGAAGACTTACCCTGCACTGTACCACACTGCCTCCCCTAATTTCACACTCTTGATTGACCTCATCTGATGGCTTTAACGTTGTTCTCAAAGCTTAGCTACCAATATTCTTTCATCTTTAGGATAATAATTCTAGATATTTAGTTTAACCAAGGTATTGTTCATCTTTATTGACTTATTTCTGTTAATGACTAAATGCACATTCCTCTTCTGTGAGCATTCTAATAACAGATTATAAAAAATAATATAGATAGGGGCTGGTACTGTGGCTCAGCGGGTTAAAACCCTGGCCTACAGTGCCGGCATCCCATATGGGCGCCGGTACAAGTCCTGGCTGCTTTACTTTTGATCCAGCTCCCTGCTAATGTGCCTGGGAAAGCAATGGAAGATGGCCCAAATGCTTGGGCCCCTGTACCCGCGTGGGAGACTAGAAGAAGCTCCTGGCTACTGGCTTTGGATCAGCTCAGCTCTGACTGTTGAGGCCATTTGGGGAGTGAACCAGTGGATGGAAGACCTCTCTGTTTCTCTGCATCTACCTCTCTCTGTAACTCTGTCTTTCAAAATAAATCTATAAAAAATAATAATACAGATTACAAAATGGATTGGTGGATGAATGGAGGAATTTAAAATGTTAATTATAGACTCTAGCAGTGGGCTTTAGATGTTTATTGACTAATTCAACTTTTCTATATGTTTGAAATTTTTTAAATTTATTTATTTATTTATTTTTTGACAGGCAGAGTTAGTGAAAGAGACAGAGAAAGGTCTTCCTTGTTCCGTTGGTTCACCCCCCAAGTGGCCGCTATGGCTGGTGCGTTGCAGCCGGCGCGCTGTGCTGATCTGAAGCCAGGAGCTAGGTGCTTTCTCCTGGTTTCCCATGCGGGTTCAGGGCCCAAGGACCTGGGCCATCCTCCACTGCACTCCTGGGCCACAGCAGAGAGCTGGACTGGAAGAGGAGCAACCGGGATAGAACCGGCGCCCCAACCAGGACTAGAACCCGGTGTGCCGGCGTCACAGGCAGAGGATTAGCCTAGTGAGCTGCAGCGCCGGCCCTGTGTTTGAAACTTTTAATGAGAAAATACTGTGAAGCAATAATAGTTTTAGAAATAAAAGCCAAACATTTCTAAAACTCACCTCCCAGAATTACCAAACTATAAGCAGTGACTGGTCTCCCAGCTTTGTGTGTGTTGTATGCATGTGTGCACATTCACACGTTTAAAAACCAAAGGGGAGCTGGCGTTGTGCAGAGGGTTATGTCGCTGCCTTTGATGCCAGTATCGCATACAGAGCACCGATTCAAATCCCAGCTGCTCCACTTCCAGTTCAGCTCCTTGGGAATGTGCCCGGGAAAGCAGTAGAATATGGAATTGCCACCCACATGGCAGACACAGATGGAGTTCTGAGCCCTTAACTTTTGGCTGATCCTGTAGATGGAATCTCTCTCTTTCTCCCTCTCCCTCTCCCCCCTCTTTTTCTCCCCCATCCTTTTTTTTCCTCTCTCTTTCTCCCTCCCTCACCCCTCCTTCCCTGCCCCCCATCTCTGTCTCTCCCTCTTTCTCTCTGTCATTTTGCCTTCAAATAAATAAATCTTTAATGAAAAAGAGGATTAGGGCCGGCACTGTGCCGCAGTGGGTTAAAGCCCTGGCCTGAAGCGCCAGCATCCCATATGGGTGCCGGTTCTAGTCCCGGCTGCTTCTCTTCCTATCCAGCTCTCTGCTACGGCCTGGGAAAGCAGAAGACAGCCCAAGTCCTTGGGCCCCTGCATCCACATGGGAGACCTGGAAGAAGCTCCTGGCTCCTGGCTTCGGATCAGCACAGCTCCGGCCATTGCGGCCATCTGGGGAGTGTACTAGCAAATGGAAGACCTTTCTCTCTGTCTCTACCTCTCTCTCTGTAACTCTCTTTCAAATAAATAAATCTTTAACAAAAAAAAGAAAAAGAGGATTGAGGTAGGCGTTTGGCATAATGATGAAGACACAGCTTGAGATGCCACACCCATATGAAGAGTCCCTGGGTTT